ATCTATTAAACAAGATAAAAATAAGAACAAAAAAGAATGCTTTGATATGGTTTTTAAAAACTTGGAATCCTACACTTGGTTTTTTACTGACGGCTCCAAATGTTCTGATCCGGACAGGGTGGGTTATGCTGCTCTTTGTGTTAAGGAAAATTGGCAGGCCGAGTTTCAAATTAATTCTACGGCTTCTATTTTCACAGCCGAAGCTCTTGCCATCATTGCAGCTTTAAATTATATTATACAAAACTCTATTTCCAAAGCGATCATTTTTTCGGACTCCAAAAGTGTCCTAGAAGCAGTACAAAATTGTGGAATAAGAGCCAAGAGCTCCTATTTGGTGTTAAGAATAAGAGATCTCCTTATGGAGGCGGTAAATGGCTCGCTGGAAGTTAAATTAATATGGATTCCTAGCCATGTTGAAATTGAAGGAAATGAGCTGGTTGATACTCTTGCTAAACATGCGGCGACAGAGGAGGGTACTTTTAAAAAAATAAGACTACCGATATCTGATCTGATTCCTGCTTTCGTTCAAGAAGAAGATATTGCAGGTCAGAAATATTTATCTGACTTAGGTAAAACTAAAGGAAAAAAGTATTTCAAGAGTTATATTTTAACTAGCAAAAAACCGTGGTTTGCTAGACCAGAATTCAACAGCTTTAAGAGAGAGGAAATTGTCACCTTCATTAGGATGAGAAGCGGACATTATTCTTTGAATTCTAGTTTATTCAAAATAAATATTAAAGATAGCCCCTTGTGCGAGTGTGAAGAAGAAGATGAAGATTTGGACCATATTTTTTGGAGATGTAAAAGATTTGCGAAGTAGAGGCAAATCCTCTACAAGGAACTCAAAAAGTTTGGATTTTTACCGCCATACAGTATCGACACGTCCATAAAAGACCCTAGGGTGGCAATCGTCAAAAGTGTTTCCAAGTTTCTTCGCAGTGCGGAGATGTATGTCTAAGGGCGAGTTTCACCACATAGCAGACTGCTATTGTGTACCAACTTAAAATTTCAAAAATGAAAGAAATTACCATTTGTGCCATCTGGCGAGTTCTGGTGAAGTAACTTATGTTCTTGGAAAGAAATTTTAATATGGTTGACCGGCAAAAGTGATTGTAAACAAGAATAAGACTGAATAGGTAAATTTTACTCCTTATAACTTTTCTTTCACTTATTTTACAATAAATATTAGTAAGTATTATTACTGAATCATGTATTAGCTAGAAAATCGTTTATTGAACAAATGTAAACAAATAGTAGCAATTGTTATTAGCATAGAAATTGAAAGAAGTAAGGTTAAAGGCTCATTTATGTTCATACATTTGAATCAATGGAAATGAATGATTCATTTTAATAATGTAATTTCATTCTAGATTATTATTGAAATGTCACAAAAACATTATTCCGTTGATGACAAACTAATACTAATTGATTTGGTAAAGCAACATTCAAAAGTGGTGGAGAATAAGAGAACTGATGCAATCGGAAATCTCGAAAAAGATGAAGCATGGAGTGTCATAACGGAGACATTCAACAAGAAAGTTGTATTCAAACGAAATACTGCATCCTTGCGAAACTGCTGGCAGCATATAAAACAATGTGCTCGAAAAAATGCAGCACAATCTAAGCAACAAACACGTGCTACAGGTAACCTAATAATAAATAAAATCAATAATAATTCGAATCCAGACTTACTATCAATTATCATTAATACTAATTTTTACAGGTGGAGGTGTTAATACAGGTCAAATGAGTGTAATTGATATGGCAGCATTGGAAATAATTCATCCATTCTCTGTAGAAGGCCTACAGAATATATTCGATAGTGATGCTGAAAATGAATGTCCTAACAAAGTAGTGTTTGATGTAAGTTGAATTATTTTATTTTATTCTAGAATTTTTAGATCTTAATACATGTATTAATTTTTATTGAGTTTTCATAGATTTTTAGTTATTAATTGTGACACAAAATGATAATTTAAATAAGAAACATTTAGTTATTATTTTTTATAGCATTTACTTTAAACAAAAAAAAATAGAAAAATGGAACAAATGGGACCCGAAGAAGTTAAAAGCATCATTGAGTGCTTCTTTACGTAATGCCGTCAGTAATGTTTCACAGCCAATTCCTAGTACATCCACGGGCATTACTAATGCATCAAGACAAAAGTGGTCTGCAACCGAATTAACGTCTCTTAAAGTAGAAGCTTTTCAATTACTTAAAAAAAGTTTAACTGAAAACCAAGCATTAGAAAAAGAATATCTAAAAACAAAGTTAGCGCGAGAAAATCTCGAACTGGAAATTCTAAAAGCTAAATGTTTTGGTTTGAATAAAATGAAAAAAAACAATTCTAGTAATGATAACATAAAGAAAAATATAGCTAGCCATGCTAAAGTACAAAAACCTGATTATAATGATGAGAATCAACAGACTGCTTCTCAGAATGATGATTCGATTTTGCTTAGTTCCGAATCCGATTAGAGGACATAGATATATGATATATTTAAAAACGAAAGTACAATTTTAACAATATAGTCTAATAACCAAATGTTATCGTTCAAGTATTAATTATAGTTCGTTAATTCGTTTTTAAATCTTAATATTTACATGTGAGATTGAGCATATGTTTCTTCTTAAACTTAAATGAAAGAATTATTTCATAAAATTTTATGAATAACGTTTAGTATTCTTTAAAAAAGAATGATCTATGTGCAAAAGTTTTATTAGTAGATCAGCATTTAATATGTTAAAAAACAAATTAGTATAAGAAAATGTTATTTAGTTTTGTGAAAAAAAATATATTTTTTATGCACGTGATGAAAGTATTACTATGCAATATGATTGTGATTCTAAGTCGATAAGTATTGCAAGTTCTATCATTAATAAATGTTAAATCATATTTAATTATTAATAATATTAGTATAAAACATGAAAAAATTATTAATTCGTAGTTTAGTAACTCGACATTTTGTATTTTTTTGAGTTAAAAAGATCTTAATATTACTTTTGTGAAAATGGCAACATGTATGATTAAAAAAGTTTAATATACACTGTATAACTTTATTATCACAGTTAAAAATAAATAAACATCTATAAACCTTTGTAAACGACATTCTTATTATTGCATTATCATGTTATTATTTTATCAAATCTTTTTACAGATAATAATCTAAATAGATGTATAGTAGATGTAATGTACACAATCAAAGCATATCAAAGATACCCATTCAAAGTAAACTGAAACAGAGTAGACTCAATAAATTACAACCCTGGTGGAAATATATCTACAACTTTCTACGTGACTCTACAACAAATTACAATTTTTGACAACATTTTGCATGGTTGTGTAAAATTGTAGTTTGTTGTAGATATATTTCCACCATGGAATATAATATAATAATCATAATATATATTAATTTTCGATACTTACTTATGAAAATAATTATTTATTATATGTCTCTGCTGATTTTGTATAAGTTGCTGATGAGTTTCAGGAATTTGATCATAAGCTCTTTGATTTATTAGCGATTGAGGAATTGCTCTTCTTGTCACATTATATAACACAGCGGATGCAATTATTGCATGCATACTCAACTCTGATTTAAAAAACCTGGAACCTATAGTTAAAACGGCGAACATTCGTCCCCAAACACCAAAACATCTCTCAACCATCGTTCGTGTTCGAATTTGTGACTCATTATAAAGGACTTCAGCTGGAGTCATAGGATTGTGCAATGGTGTCATAATAAATGGCACTTAAGAATATGCAGAATCACCTACAAGCAATGAGTTATAGAATTCACCGTTTTCGAATCGTCTTTTTATTCTAGAATTGTCAAATATGGTAGCATCGTGTGCCGATCCAGGCCAACGTGACACAATATCTATAATCTCCAATCTCGAATTGACAATGACTTGGGTGTTGATTGAAAAAAACGATTTCGTATTCCGGAATAACTCTGCATACTCTTCACCTGTAATATTGATACCTTAAATTGTAATAGTTTACATAATTGATTGAAATTATATACATGTATGTATATATCGCATTATAACAAGATGAGTTATTGTATATGAATACATACCATACGAACGAACCCGAACATGGACGCAATCGATAGCACCCAGGACACGAGGAAAGGCGGCTTGACTAAAATTTTGACTATGAATAGCTCTAATTTCTTGATGAGAAGGCGGTATATAGATGTAACATTCCCTCAATCCAGCAATTGCTTCTGATACTCTATGCACGATTCGCCAAACGCTAGTTTTGCTAATACCAGTAAAATCTCCTATTGTGATGTAAAATGATCCAGTAGCTAGAAATCTCATGGCTACAAGCATCTGGATCATTGGTGGAATCGCATTATTGCTGAAAATTGAAATGAATGTACATGAAATTGAAATGCCTAGAAATAATCTATTCATATGCGCTTAATATTAAATTTATTACATACAGTGGTGAGTCGGGAGTTATTCTTGCCTCTATTTGCTCAAAAACTTCCCTTGTCATTGCTTTGGTTAGGCGAAATCTTTGTACAAAATCTTCGTCATCAAAAGTATCGAACCAATTCATTCGAGGACGAATTATCCGAGGCCTTCTGACAATATCATCATCATCATCGTCAAAAAGAATCAGTAGCAAAAGATTATTCATTCTCCTGAACAAAATAAATCATAGCATACAGATAATATTTATGAGAAAAATTAATATAAATTGCAGTTACCTGCACTATATTGAGATAATTAAGAAGTTTATTTATCAATAAGTGATGATTAATGAGTGAATTAAGTGAAAGAAAAGTTATAAGGAGTAAAATTTACCTATTCAGTCTTATTCTTGTTTACAATCACTTTTGCCGGTCAACCATATTGAAATTTCTTTCCAAGAACATAAGTTACTTCACCAGAACTCGCCAGATGGCACAAATGGTAATTTCTTTTATTTTTGAAATTTTAAGTTGGTACACAATAGCAGTCTGCTATGTGGTGAAACTCGCCCTAACTATACCGGAGAAGATAGTGGCAGCATGGGGGCATGCGCATCCCGAGCCATCACAAAATAAATATATTATTATTATTAAATAATAAGTTTACACTTGATGTGGTTTTTGAATTTCTTAGAAATAGTTAAATAAGTAACAGAAAATGATTCAAAATATTTCGTATAGTTTTGAATAAATTTTTAAATTGTGCAACAGACCAAAATGCTTTCCAAATTAATATTTCGTAAGATATCATTCAATACTCGAAGTTTTAGTATTTCTCAGTCATGCAACAATTTACCCTCTAACAGCATCATGAATGTCTTCGATAGGCAAGCAAAACTATTACAGAAAGAACGAGCTGCCAGAAGCCCTGATGTTGAAAAATACGATTATCTCAAAGATGAAATAGGGTACAGACTAGCTGACAGAGTATTTGATATCAAAAGGAATTTCAAAAATGTTCTGGATCTTGGATGTGGTCGAGGTCATGTTAGTAAACATTTAACAGGAGAAAATATAAAAAATTTAACTTTAGTAGATATGTGTCCAAGTTATTTGGAGCAAGCTCAAATTCCTCAAGACATCAATACTAAAAAATTAATGCTTGATGAGGAGAATTTCTCATTAGAACAAAACAGCTTTGATTTAATTCTCAGTTGTTTAAATCTTCACTGGATCAATGATCTTCCAGGATGTTTCAATAGAATTTTTACATGTTTAAAAAATGATGGAGTATTTATTGCAGCAATATTTGGTGGAGATACACTTTATGAATTAAGGTATTTATTGCTTAATTGAAAATTATAATTTTATTTTATATCATTTTATATATTTGTTTTTTTTAAGATCATCATTGCAGCTAGCAGAGTTAGAAAGAGATGGTGGTATTTCTCCTCACATTTCTCCATTTACTCATATTCGAGATATAGGAGGTTTAATGAATCGATCAGGATTCACCATGTTAACTATTGATACTGATGAAATAGTCATAGGATTTCCATCCATGTTTGAAGTTATGCGAGATTTAAAAGGTAGGATTTCGTTAAAATTAACTAGCTGTTTTAAGATTGGGGAAAAGATAAATAATAATAATATTATCAATTGATTGTTTTACCAAATGAAGGGATGGGTGAAAGCAATGCGGCCAGAAATCGTATATTACACTTAAAAAGAGATACAATGGTAGCAGCTGCTGCTATATACGAGGAACTTTATTCAAAAAAGAAAAAAGATGGTAGTAGATATGTACCGGCTACTTTTCAAATAATATATATGTTAGGATGGAAGCCCGATCCTAGTCAACCAAAGCCTCTTGAAAGAGGAACTGGTGAAGTATCTTTGAAAGATTTGCATAAATTGAATGAAATTATGAGAGATACAAAAAAAATTAAATTAGATGATAGTGATAAATAATCATTTATTAAATTTAAAAAAATTTAATAACATAATAACATATTTAAGGAATGATTTTCAAGTTAAAAATTAATCATGACATTGATCTTTATGTTTTACGATGCCTTTCTCAATGAGATCTGGAATTTCTACAGCTAGCCAAGGTCCAAGCTGAAATATAATCCAATTAAAATATAGTAAAGTTTTAATTTAGACAAAAAGAATAAATTAAAAACTTACTCCTAAGGCCATTGCATGAGCAAGCCCAAATTTGGGAACATTTCGAGCCCAAAGTGGTTTGAAATGATCACTTAAACAAATTTTCCCACCACGATACATTTTTGCAGTCTTTCCATCTAATTCAGGCAATGCTATCTCAGGTGCAGTAAGTGGATACGTGACGGGAATCTATCAAAATTAATTTATATCAACGAAATCTGTATTTAAATTTGATATGAAACATTATACTTACATCAAATTCGACGTCGAATTCGTATTTTAGCAAGTTGTGAATATGCCAGCATTTTCCAAACCATTTTGTACCTTCTTTATTTGATTCTAATCTAAACCAATCATTATCAGAAGCTTTATTACTTTTTACGTACTGAAATAAAAATAAATAAATTATAAATAATCTAACATATGGCACATTCGTGGGTAATACATTCTTTTATTTTGAATTACCACTAGAAGAGCTCGATATTCTTCTGCTAGTCTTTTTGGCCATAATTCTTTATCACGAGGCCCTGCTTTAGTTTGTAATAAAGGAATTCCACTAAGAGTTTTTTTTGTTGAAGCGTCTACCATTCTTTAAAAATTTATGTAATAGTCACACAATGATCACAAAAATTTGGAGTCAAAAAATATTAGAACATGTTATATCTCCTGTCAACAGCTAATCAGCTGATGCATCATCATGCATACTCCATCTATCAGAAATATACCTAACTTTACGTGAAATTGTATCAGCTGATGATGTTGATAATCAACAAAGTTTTTATAGCGGTTTCTACTGTGATTTCTAACCTCACTCAATGATCAATTACTTATTTATTGTTAATAATTTAATAATACAATAGAAATAGTGATTAAGAATAATGGAATCAAATAATAACAATAGTAATGAGCAGTCAGTAGAATCGAGTAGTAATCAAAACAATGAGAAGAATAATGACGAAGAAAAATTAAATTTGACAAAACCTCAAGTTGAACAACAAGAAGAATCAAAATCTGAAGATGAATTATTAAATACATCAAATCAAGAACAATTTAAAAAACCAGTCTTAATAGTTGGACCGCGAAAAGGTAAAACTGGTTCAATACGTACCATTTCTGCTACTAAATTAGTAATTCCTCAGCCAACATGTCTTGAATCAGATCAAACAAATACAGAAACATCAGAATTAGACAATACTGGGCAAAAAAATATATCTGATTATAAGCTACCGCTGAATTACAAAGAACCGGCGTGGAGCGGTAAGCCACAAAATAGATATAAAATTGAAGTATTAAAATCTGGAGTTATTTTAGATACGGTTGACTTAACACAGAAAAGTTTTTATGTTATTGGACGACTTCCTATGTGTGATATACCTTTAGCTCATCCTACTATTTCTAGATTTCATGCTATTCTTCAATATAGACTCGAAGGCGATGATAAAAATGGTCCAGGATATTACTTATACGATTTAGAAAGCACTCATGGTACTTTTTGGAACGGATGTCGAATAAGACCAAAAACTTATGTGAGGCTTCGCGGAGGACATATGGTAAAATTCGGTTGTAGCCAACGTAAATTTATTATTCAGACACCATCAGACGAGGTAGAAGAAGAATCTGAATATTCTGTATCTGAATTGAAGGAAATGAGAAGGTTGGAATTATTAAAAAAGGAAAAAGAAGAAAAACTTCGCTTAGAAGAAGAAAAAATGAAAAAAGAAAAGGAAGAAGCTGAAGGTATTGATTGGGGAATAAGTGAAGATGCTGATGAAGAATCAGATCTGGCCGAGAATCCTTATGCAATGACCAATAATGAAGAATTATTTTTGGACGATCCTAAAAAAACATTGCGCGGATGGTTTGAAAGAGAAGGATATGATTTACAGTATCAGACAGAAGAAAAGGGTGTGGGCCAATTTTTGTGTTGGGTTGAACTACCTATAGATGCATCAAGTAAAACTGTTAAAGCAGAAGCTTTAGTGAAAGGTAAAAAAAAGGAAGCTGTTATTCAATGTGCACTGGAAGCTTGTCGAATTTTAGACAGATATGGTCTGTTAAGACAGGCAACACATGAAGGAAGGAAACGTAAATCAAGAAATTGGGAAGAAGAAGATTATTACGATTCCGATGAAGATAATTTCTTGGATAGAACTGGCACTGTAGAACGTAAAAGAGAACAACGAATGAGGAATGCTGGTAAATTGGAAGAAAAAGCAGAAACTTATACTTCTTTGATCGAAAAACACTCGATTGTTGTTAAAGAAATAAATAAAATTGAAATAACTTTGAAAAACCATAATGATGCTCAAAAAAGTGCAGATTCTAATTCTAATGCGGATGCTTTAGATGCATTCATGTCAAATTTAAGTTCAGCCGTTTTGAATAAAAGCGATTTGATGAAATTAAAGATGAAATTACTAGCATTTAAAAAAGAGGAAGAAAAATTGAGAAGATTAGTAAATATTGCGAAACCGGCTACTTTACCAGCATTAAATCCTCCCAGCAGTGTAACGGCTTCTAAAAGTACAGAAGAAAATATTAGTTCCCAAAAACGACAACGTACAGATGACAGTCAATCAAAAGATAGTAAAGATTCCAATGAAACTAAAAATACAAAAGAAGAGCAGTTTCTGGATAAAGTACATTATGGTTTAATAAGTTCTGCTAAAGAAGTTGACACAGTAAAAAAAGTAGAAGAAGAAAATCATAATAAACTAAAAGATGATGAAAACATAGAAACAAATAAAAATAAGGCTGAAGATAATAAAAAAAAAATCGAAGAAGATGAAATAAATAAGACAAAGAAAAAAAGTATGCGAAAAATGAAACAAAAACTTGAAAAAGAAATGCAAAAAAATCAAGATGTATATCAGGAAAATTATTCTACGTGGCTTCCACCTGAAAATCAGAGCGGCGATGGAAGAACAAGTTTAAATGAAAAATTTGGTTATTGATAAGTGAAAAATATTTTTAATTTATTCATAAATTATTATTAATATTACTATTATCAATATTAATGTGATTAGATTTTTTATATTGATAATATTTCTTGAAAGTAAACAAAAACAATTACTTTACTCAATCTTATATCAAAATATTTCATCATATGGAATCAAAATGCTTTCTAAAATAAACAAAAGATTTTATTATGTATATAAATTTATACTGATTAAATACGAGAATGAATGATAACTTATTCTTGTAATCATTATTTTCAAACTAAGGGGATTCCCCAAAGATACTTTAATATTGATAAAAACTACTTTTTTCACTTCTTCTTCGATTAATAATTGTAAAATATTATATACAAATTTTGACAGCATTAATTTATTAAAAATTATTTTCATTTTCAATCACAGTTACTGTCACAGATATTTCTTTCCTAAATATATCCTCTGAATCATTAAATAACCCAGCATAGCAAGTCCATTTCCCGATATTTTCAGGCTTGTATTCTAGAATTATTACAAATTTTATAAAAAATAAATACAAAATATTCTCTAATGTCTATGAAAACGATAAAATGAAGTCAATGCATATTTATACCATTCATTGTCAACGAGCACGATTTTCGATTATGTGACATAGAATATTGGCTTGAATTGTCTCTTTGAATTTCGGCTCCATTAGGATAATGCCACCGACAATAGTTAATGGTTACATATTTTCCAGGTAATATTCTCAAAGTAAGAGTTGTTTTTTCATTCTTATTCATCTTAATTACACTTTGGTTTGCATATAATATGAATCTAAAAAAAATATTGTATGTATAAATTAGTGATTAATTTTAATGAATTTAATATATTATACTACAGACCTGTAACTGATACTACAATGGCATTAGATACTTTTATTTCATCACCTCCAATAGTATTTAATAAACAGCTTCAATTACCCAAATGTTTATAGTCAGCATTTTTAATCGTGGTACCACAAATACCAGCAGCTAAATTTCTACCTTTATACATTAAAGCTTTTTCGGAGCTTATATAATACGAACTTGCATATATTGTACCATTAGGACTATAAAGCCAACAATAATTTAAAGATGCGTATCTAGGACACTCTATCTAAAATTACATAATTCAAATGAATTAATAAGTAAAAAAAAATTCGATATTATAATCATTTACCTGTAAGCTGTCACCTCATTTCACGTAAAAATGATTTGGTATATATGCCTCTGTCATGCTAATTGTGTTGGTGTCAATGTATGATAGAAAGGTTCTATAATTTTGAAATAACTTTTACATTAAAATATATTGTAATGATATCAAGAAGTTCTGGAACGTAGTATTGGATTTTCCATATTCCTTCGTATATGTAGTTCACTGCATCTATTTTTTTCGTACAATTATTATACCCGAAAATAGTATATCGTCCATCGGGCTGTGTTATTTTACAATATGTATATTCCAGATATTCAGGTAATCCAATTTTTGCTGAAAGACCATGATGCCAGACAAGCGTTGTCTGAAATAATGAAGAAGTTACAAAGTTATTTTGAAAAAGAATAAAATATAAAATATGGTCTAGGTGCGACCCTCAAAATTTAACTAGATTTAAGTTACATAATTATGCATTAAACGAAACTGGTCCCATTTCGATATCGTCATTTATTCTTGAGATACACGAGAGGAAAGTCGATAATGAACGTAATTCCCCTTAAAAATAATTCGACTTAAGAGATCGTGAACAGTAAAGAAAAGTCGAAATTTGGAATTTGCTGAATCGGATCTATTATAATAACTTTTTACTGGGAAGTTAAGAATCAAAGTAAATAACTATTATGAAATGAATTTTCAAATTACATTAACGTGATAATTATCTCTATACGGTCTTCATATTTTAAATTCCAGTTGTATTATTTTATATTGTTCATCGTTTGTAGAAGTTGCCAAGTTCCATACTTCGATTCATCAACATGTATTCGTACACCACATGTTCCATAACGTTCTATTCCTAGATTATTTTGGTTGAGATTTAATAAATCATAATTATCTTCACGCTATGAATAAATTTATTTAAGATTTATGATGAATTTTTCAATCATAAGAAATAAAGTAATAAAATTAACTACCAGCCCAATATTATAGTTGAGGGAAAACTGTTACATAGTTCCTGAGTTCTAATAAGAACCAACTTTATGGTAACAAAATGGTTTTCTATAAAATATTATTTAAAACACATTAATAAATTATTTTATGTAAAATAGGAACATAAATAATATGAAAAATAATAAGCTTCAAGAATGTTACATACCATGTGGACATATATTTCAATTATATATGAAGATTGACTAGTGTCACTACCTAGCATAGAACTTGTATAAATAGTCCACTTTCCTGCATCATTTAAATTTATTCGAGAAAATTCAAACGTGCATAATTTGCTAGTGCTGATCATCGTGAACAGCTACACACGATAAAATATTGGAATTATCATTTGTAATGGCGTAGGTAACTTTGTCACCTTCTCTTACTACTAGTCATGCTAAAAATGTGTAAATTTTTTTATGTACATTTACCCGGAGGATTTGAATTTCCTCCATTGAATTGAACAAAAAAGACAATAAATGATGAGATAATTAAACACATCATCTTCATTAGTTGTCTTACAATATAATAATAAAAAACATAGTATGATGAATTTTATTTTATATTAAATGTGATTCGATTTAATCATAAATCTCAATTACTTTTATGATAAATATAATTATGCTTATCATTTTAATAGTTTGCGGCAATTAAATAAATTTCACATTGTATAAAGAATGTAACAAAAATTTCCTTGACGTCAAAGTGAATTATGTATTAAAATTTATCTAATAGATTAGTTTTATATATGTATAATGTTTGTCATACACGGAAATTTGGTGTTCCATTGTTAGTAAAAGAATTAGATATCTGAAAATTACATTCAATTTATATTATGTCGAACATTGTATAAATTTTGAATAAATTTAATCATATGTTAAACACAGGTCATTGACAATTCATATTTATATAATTAAAACAATGAAAGATACATAGTAAACAGTATTTTAAAGCTAATTAAATTGAAGCAGATAAGAAATAGATTAATAAAATAAACATGACAAGTAATTCTTGCAGAAAATAATAAATTAATATTTTAATATTTAAATGACAAATTTTTAAATTTATTTCCAACCCTTGTTTAAGTAAAATAAAAATGAAAATTCAATTATATTAGTCAGATATTTTTTTATAAATTGACAGATAAATTTTACATTTTATGATGATGATTAGTTGAATTATTTACATCCTTTTCCGCAGCAACTTCTTTTTGGTGGTTTATATCCACGACTAGAATCTCCCATCAATGGATTATATTCTAAAATAATAATTTTTATTGAAGTTATTATATATTGTATTTAATAAATCTATTTTTAACTATACAAGTAATTATAGTTAATTATTTTGTTTTTATATAAAGTACGGAAATGACACTACCATCATAAAGTTTCGATGATTTAGATGTGGAAGCATCATCTGCTGTGCCTAATCTTTGACCTCCATCTTTTTTCAAGTTTAATAATTGTTGTTTTTTCAAACGTTTCCTCTATTAAATTATATAAAAATTATGAAGTGATTAAAAAATTATCATTAAAACTGATTTTGATACTCACTTCTTCTTCTTTTTCTTGAGCTTTTCTGGCCTCTTCGTTATATTTTTCTTGTAATTTCTGCCTTGCTGCTTCTATTGCTCTTGATCTTTCTTCGAATAAGTCGGGGTCTATAAATGAAAAAATAAAGATAAGAAATAAACTATGCATCGTACTGATACTTTTATAAATTTATACTTTTATGATATTTTATTTTATATTCTTCTTCATCTTTTTTTTGTTTCCAACTTTGATACTTTTCTCCTAAATATGGTGAAGCACAAAAAAGTGCTATAGCAATAGCTAGAAGATACCATCCTACTGAAGCAATTAATGCCCAAACTGAAAGAAAGATAAAATGATTACGAAATTGAAAAAATATGGTTAAAAGAAAGCGTCCATTGTTGAAAATGAATCGACAAAAATAGGTCTGTCTACATAAAATGTTTGGTATTCAACTGTATTTTTATCAAGAAGTAGATTGAAAATGTTATTGTTTATTTAAAAGGTAGAAATACTTACTAGTAGTTAAATTAGAAGTAGAACGGTAAGTAAAACCTTCATTGTCGTTCATAATGTAAATAATAACCTCTTTAAATTTATACGTAAATATTATTATGTAGTATTTGCCATAAATACTGTCTTATAGTACCGAACATAAATGCTGTTTAATTTTTTAAAGGTTATACATGTGATTTCCCTATACCGTCTTATAGAAAATCACACAGCATTTATGTCCGGTACTGTACCTAGAAGCCCAGAAGTGGCTTTTTCATGTTGCCAGGAATTTTTAGTTGATACTCTGACCACAAGATGGGGTCGGCGAATGTTTGCCGAAAATCAGTCGTACCAATTTTTGACTGTGTAGTTGGCAGCCTGCGGGCATTAATTAAAAAAAAGCGAAAGGCAACTCAGTGTGATAAAATGACGGAGGGCGCTGCAATCGTTTATTATTGAGTTATGATAATGTAGAAAACATAATTATTTGGAAAATAATATTTTCTTAACTGTAAGATGGCGCCTCAGGATAAAAATTTTAATAGTACAGAAATTGTCAAAAGTCTCTTTAAGGCTGGGCTGAAGTCAGAAAGTTTCCCGGAGTTGACTTTACGCCCTCACGTTGTGCGGCGAAAAGCCGAAGCTCGATATCAATTGAAATTGAGTAGGTAACAGAGAAATCGTTCGAAAAATGATAATTTTCAGGGATGCACTACAAAAAGGGAGCCTTAGGGTACCAAGAAATTTACAAATTTCAGAATAATCTGTTCCGAGCAAGACAGAGCACAAAATATGTCTATCTATCTCCGTCTTATTTTTCAGAGAAGACTGCGAGTTCGAACAGTTGACGAGCAAGCACATTCCCCACCCTCTGTTACTAAGCCTGAAGCTTACGATATCTAAACGTAAACAAAGCAAATGAAAATATGCTGGCTCTGTAGTCAGAAGATTCGATTTCGACATCAAAAATGAGTTTTAAATTTCAATTTTTATGTAAAATTATTTTTCAATTAATCGATGACAAATGAGACAATATTTGAACAGGGTCATTAACCTTTTTTTGTACAAATACATTGATAATAGCCTTTTTTAACAACTTATTAACAATAAAAAATAGTTTAAACAATCCGCGGCGAGTTCCGACACTTCACCGGCAAGCTCTACCCCCACTCTCTGTGCCCAAGCCTGCAGCTTATAGTTTTTAAGTATCATTCACATTATTGAAATCATAATAGCTCAGTGGAAGCGCACCAAGCGTTTATTTTGCTGGGCAGGGTTCGATCCCAGTCATAGGCAATTGTTTTTTCTTTTTTTTGCTTAAGTGACTTTATATACTTATAAATTAATTCATATATTTGATTAAATTATTCTTCCAATTAATTACGGAAAACAACTTGTTTTTCTGAAAATAAGCTGAGGGTGAGGAACGAGTTACTATGAATTCTCTTTTTTCGAGTGTTGTCTTTAAAAGACAATAGGAATTGATTTTGAACTTATATAAACAACCAATTATTGTATTTATGTAAAATTTTAATGAAAAAAAAAGGAACAAAAAATTGGCTATGACTGGGATCGAACCCTAATCGGTAAAATGAAAGCTTGGTGTTCTACTCACAGAGCTAACACATCATCTCTGACATTATGTTTATGTTTATAAATTGTATAATGCAGGCTTGGGTACGAAGGGTAGGGATAGAGTTTGCCGGCGAAGTGCCAGAAATCCCCGTGGATTATTTCAACTACTTCTAAATATTTCTAAATTGCTTAAAAAAAACTACGTTCATATAGCTATAGTAAAAAAAGTGTTTATAACCCTGTTCATATGTTTTCTGACTCGGCGTCGATAAATTACATAAATAATTGAGAAAAAAAAATCAAATCATTGGTAAGAATTCATTTTAGCATGTTAATATTATAATTACATGCAAATCTAACAAATAAAAAAGAAAAAAAAAACTCTATTATGACTGGAATCGAACCCTGCCTAGCAAAATAAAAGACCGATGCTGTAACCACTGAGCTATTATGGTTCCAATATGATTATATGTATATGCTTAAAAATTATAAGCTGCAGGCTTGGGCACAGAGAATGGGGGTAGAGCTTGCCGGGGAAGTGCCGGAACTCGCCACAGATTGTTTAAACTACTTTTCAATGTTAATAATAATATGATTAACTTGTTAATAACATGTTAATAACATAACATTGCATGTAAAGATGTATAAGTTGTTAAACACAGGCTATTATCAATGTATTTATACAAAAAAAAAGTTTATGGCTCTGTTTAAATATTTTCCGACTTAGCGTCGATAAATTCAATGAGTAAAGAGAAAAAAAAAATCAAATCGTTATAAAGGAATAATTATGGCATGTCAATATTGTAATTACATGTTAATCTAACGAATAAAGTAGAAAAAAAAAATTGGTTATGACTGGGATCGAACCCTGCCCGGCAAAATAGAACTCTGACGCCCTAACCACATGGCCAGAATAATCTCGATATTGAGTTAATGTATATTTGTTTTTACACTACATGCTTGGATACGCCGACTTGGAATTGAGCTTCCTTATTAACATTTATACCTAACAAAAATGATAATAATGGATGAATATATGTATTTGAAGTTATTTGCAGGTATTATATTAATTAATGTTAAATGAGTATCATCATTTTCATTTATCCTAACTGCAATAGTCATCAAAGTGTAGGGCATTGTAAAGTGATACACTATGTTTACATCACATACATATATTACCCGTACACACACATACAGAATTTACTCGCCAAAATGCAGGGCACCATCAGTTCTGGATACGGATTGAGCATTTTTTCAATATGGATGACTGAGGTCAGAGAAGAGAGACGTCTCTCTTCTCTGCTGAGGTCATCTGCGAGCATAATGCTGTCACCTATCAGAATTTTTTCAAACTAATTTTCCGGAGAATATCATCTGGAATACAAGATTTCTAATTATTTCTAAATTATTCAATTTTATACTATGAATTGATTTTTTTAACATTCAGACAGGTGGCAAGGACTGACGCAAACACGAATTTTGGGCGAAAAACGTATAAAAATGAAATAATTAGTGATTTTTCATCTGAATGATGTGGCCGCCATCTTGAAATTTAAGCGCGGCAAGTCAATTCATAATTTTTTCATTATTCTTTCTAATTTTTTTAATAAAAATATTCACTATATACAAAAAATTGTTGTTTACGTCAGTCCGGCATCAATTCCTCTGTAATTTGGTACCTAATTTTATAGAAATAATTGTAAATTGGCGAAGAAATTAGAAATTTCCCGATTCCATGTATTTGGATAGGGGGAATCAGTTGCCTTTCTGACTTCAGCCCAGCCTTAACCATCGGTCAGAAAAATTGAGAGCATCAATTGTATTCCAACCAAAGATGTCGTTACTTGGTCAATTTTTAAGTGAAATGCGATTCTGCAGAATAGTAATTAATTTTGCTGCGTTTCATTTTTTCAATTAAATGTTCATCATATAAGATGTTCATTAATGATTAAATTTTTATGCGATTGATCAGTTTAAAACTCTTTAAAAATGTTTTAATTTGAACAACTACAGTTTTAAAGTTACAAAGTTCCACAAAGTCGTGTTTTTGTGCTACAAAACAATATGTAATACTGATTAAAATGATCATTAATAGTGATTTGAGATATTTCTATTGGAATGAAATTTATGTAGGGTCGAACTAAAGTGGATTTTAACAGATTTATTATTTATGGTAAGTTATCTTAGTAATCAAATCAACGTAAGACTGATGTCAGATTTAGATATTTTGACCTACGATTGTCATTTGCGTATGCATCTGCCGTTTTTCTGCAGTGGATAAACGTAAGATTGTCGTCAGAAGAATTATCGTCAGATATTGAATGGCAATGTGGTGCAAAAAGAAAACAAACGTGCGTATTTAAACGAAAATTTTGACGCTATGGCCAGTAACTAGGGTACTTAACGTATATGATAAAATTTAACAAGTAATTTTAGATTTGTGGGTTTGAATATAATTTTTTCGTAGACCCCGCGTTGAAATTAGGCCTATAAGTCTTGATATCATATAATATATTTTTCTAAGATGATAAAACCTAAGCGACAAGGTATATATGGAAAACCCTCGAGGTATTTTTTTATGTCATCAATTGTCTTTCACCCTCCTTTATACTGGCGCAGGTGGTTTACAAAGATCCGTTCTTCACATTCCTTCCCTCTTTTTCCACCACCCACAACCACCCTTCTTTTAGTTCATCACCTTCCTTTCCTTATCTTCACCAAGCTGAAATACGTATCCTCATATAATGACAATATAATGCGGCGGAATCTTATACTGAATATCTCATTTCATGAGTTGGTAGTTAATAGAATACTGTCTGTCTCAGATGAATTGAAGACAAAATAAATCGTTCTACTTCCGTACACTATTCCATTAGACTTTTTTCATTTCGAAATAGAAGAAATTCAAAGTTTCCATGCTAATTTTACGGATAATTGGATGCGCTATTCCAGACATATCTGCATTCTCTTGGGATGACCAAGAGATAGATAGAGTTTGATTCTAAAAGAAGATAGCTATCAGAATACGGAATTGTTCTACATTGTCTCTCTCAATTGTCTATTGCTCCATTCTTTATTAAAAACCAATTCCTTAGTTTCAATGACTTGCAGACAATGTTTTTTTCTCGTCAAGATGGAAAAAATTATTATATTATGCTACTAAATAGTGCTTGAAATTTTTTTCAATGGTATGTAGCTTTGTAAAATTAATCATCGTGTCTGTTGATCCATTAAGGAGATCTTGGCATTATTTCAGGATAAGATTAACGTAAGAATCAATTGTGTCAGAGTTTCAACCTCAGTTGAAACGTCTTTTGTGTTAGCTCAATAAATCATTGGATTTCCGACATTTCTCGTTTCTTCATTGTCACGTTGGAGCGCTATTCGCATGCCCATCGTACTTTATTCTCGTGTATCGTTTTATTTTGTTTTTATAAAAACAAGAAAGAAGTAAAAAAGGTTTTAGGCAATTCTCCCAAACGGAGGACAAAATTGGGATCTAGACTTGCCCGTCAATCCCCAACGGCACACCTGATACCCCAATGGACAGACGGACGAACGTGCTTGACGTGTAAATTTGTTGAAAACGAAGTTTACATTAGTGAAGCTTTCAACGCGTTTGACAAAATTTTTGTAAAACTTTCAAGTACTGGTGATGGAAATCAAGAATAACGTTCGC